ATACAGTATGTAGCAAAGTAAAGGTCGAGCCTTTTAACACCGCGATTCGAAGGAAGACTCTCTCCACCCGAAAAGCCGTCGTAGTTCAATCCGGAGTACATGTTGCGCGCGCACCTGAATCGAAAGGGGACGAACAAGGCAGGTTCTCCGTTCCCCCCCGTCGGGGCTCTCTAACGACACGGGATTTCTAACCCTTCCGCGAGTGCAAATACGGGGTGGGGGCGGTGATCGCGAGAGCGTCGTCCTGGCAACGGCCCGCGGCCTCCCGAAGCGGTTCTCCCGGAGGCACACGTGCCGCCGAATCCACGGATCTCTGTGTGCCCAAGGATTTTGGGAAAGCATTATCCGCTGCTCTCCCGGATTGCGGCTGTCCCCTCCCGCGCTATTTGCCTTCGCAATGCCGGACTGTGGCTCAGACCGCAGTTCATCGCTTGTTTGCTCTGCCGCGTCTTGTTGTTTCTCCTTCAATCTTTCCTGTCTGTCTGTGGGAGTCTGTGTGTGTGTGTGTGCGTGGGTCTGTGCGTGCGTGCGTGCGTGCGTGCGTGCGTGCGTGCGTCTGTGTGTGTGTGTACAGGGAGACGTAATACGTTTGCTCTTTGAAACGAAAAATCCGTCGCCCGACTCTCCCGTGTTTTGTGATACGGGCTGTCTGCTGCTTGAACGCTTGCTGCCAGTTTCATTCTTCTGTGTGAGGGTCGAGTACGCTTCGGGCGAGGATAAGCTTTCGTTTGGTTTTTTACGTTAATTGTGACTGTTACCTCATCTATTGTATATTCTTTGTTTATTTTTATTATCTTTTCTACGTGAGCCCTGGTCGGCTTGCAGTGTTGGTTACGTTTATATTAAGATGCTGTTTCAGTAAAGCGTTTTGGCTTAAATGTTTCCAGTTCCAGAGGTCTTTTTATGGATCTAGCGGGTTTCTTTTAATTTTTAAAATGAAATCTAACAAAACTTGTAACAGTATACACAGAAGACGAACACGAAAGAGGGGACCGGGACAAGCGCCACTTTCAACTTGTTTTTCGTGGCCAAGCGACCGCGTTGGAAGTTACACTTAGTCCTTGTGTACTCCTTCGCGTTGTTCCTCGTTTTGTCAGTACTATAAACCAACTAGCACAGCAAGTCTCGCTAAATCTAACGTACCTGATTCTTAATGTTGAGAAAGTATTCAGCAATCAATAAAAAAAGGTTTTATTTTTTTTTCAAGGAAAAGTAACCATTGCAAATTTCTCGAACGATATACATTTTTAAATGAGTTGTTTTATTTGGACAGAAGCTACATGACTTGAAACCCTTCGCATATACAATGCGGTGGAAGCAGTCAGCTTTGATATTAACTTTAAAGGCTTTCGAGTATCGAACTGCAGGATCGTTGTGCGGATATTCGCAGTCGTTCAAAGGCTGGCATACAACAGAGGTGCTTCCATCCCGGTTTCTAAACATTAAAATTGCATTATTTGTAGCATCGACGCAAGAGTAGGTAGGCTTCACCTTCTCTTGACACAGTGCCGTGTTTCTGGCCTTCAAATCTTTTAACTGCCTTTTATGCTCTGCGTCCTCTCTCTAAAACCTCTTTTTTAATCTTCTTTCCCAGTGCGCACAGTAGTAGCCAGTCGTGACGATTACCCAGAGTACCGTCTCTGTCTTCCTGTCCTTAGTCCTCCTCGTAATGTTTTGACCACGCATCACGCAAAATCACGCGTTTGTAAACGGGTTCGGGTTGTCTGTTTTGACCGTCGTTCTTCCGAAGTGCTTCTTCTGCCGAGCCTCACGTTGTTGGTTTCTTCCTTCTGCGCAGGCGGGCAAGGGCCCGATGGTGGCTCCCCCCGCCCCTCACCCGGGCTCTCCGCTCAACTTCATGGTGTACAACGAGCCTTTCTCGCAACCACCGCCCGCCCACATGGGCATCCCTCCCGTCCACATCGACCCAAAGACAGGTAAGAACGAGCCCCCCCCCCCCCCCCCTTTTTTTTTTTTTTCGCCTTGGTAAAGTCGGTACATGTATTATGAAGTCGACAATCCTCCTTCGTTGCCCCACTCTTCTTGCCCCTTTCCATCCGCATGACTAAACCCTTACAGCGAAGTTACTGCGCGTGCCTATGTCCAAACTTGCGTCCCTAACATATGACGCCCATAAGTGTGTTCGCGAACGCAGAACAACCTTTGCCCCCCCCCCCCCCCCTTTTTTTTTCGTTTTGTTTGCCCTCCAAATAAGTTTTACGTTGAAGCACGATGTTTACGTAACACAGCGCAATGTCTTACACAGCGATATCTAGAAATGTGGTTTCATTATCTGCAGCAATTGACGATATTTTTTCGAAGTCTACGTGTGCGATACTATATGACGATTGCTGGGCATCATTTATGTTATACAGAACCGTTTGTTTTCTTATCACTGGTCTTGCCATTACCGACGCGATTTTATTCATAAAATTAATTGTACGCGAACTGTAGCGAGATTCTCGGAAATGTCAGACAGGAATCACTTTCCTGACTCATGTTTGCACCAAACTAGCACCCACTGAAGGCAAGAAAGAGATAGGTTAGCACCAGCTGACAATAATTTAGGGCTAGTCTCGGAAGGCCGCAAGATGTTTTACAGCCTAGAACAGGGATACAGAGCACGGGTCAAAGCTAGGTCGAACACGACATCTGCATTGTTGCTGTTTTTCACGGAGGCTGGTGTCGAACACTGATATTTACCGCTTTCATCGGTTCCACCGCTGGCAATTTTGCTACGTACATCGATTATCCACGCGAGAAAATAGGGGGGAAAACCTGCGACCGCACAAAAGCATAATATATGTGCCAGCACAAACAATGTGGACGCATCTGGAGTCATTAATTGCGTAAATATTGCCCACAGAGAGGACCGCCAGTGTTATTGTCCGCGATAATTGACCGCTGTGTGTTATGCCGAGAAAAAAAATTTAACCTAGCTCCGTTTTACATTAACGTCAGGTTGCTAGACGCTGCGTGCTAACTTGTGATGTCTGGTAGAGGCTGCTTCTATACTCTTAGTATAGTTGCACAAGAGTTCCAGTTAAATTAACGTTCCATATATTCTTTCTGGAACAAGTGAAATTTTCTGCGGATCAAGGATACATGTGGAACGCCAATTGTTTGCTTCATCTTTTCTTTTTTTTATCCGGAACACGTAGATGGTACGTCGATTGTCATTCCACCTACATGCAGTTCCACTTACCCTATTCCACTTAATTAAGCGCCAATCCGCTGCAGTTAGGACTGCCAGAAAGTACTCTTTTCACATTTATTGTTTAGAATGATCAATTATCTGAAATACTGCTCCGATTATACTCGAAGTATTTGCAATTGTCTGAAACGCTGCTCTCTATCAGCGACGAACGATACGGAAGATGGTTCCTCTTAGTTAAGCGTAACTAGCTTGCAAAAAGGTTCAGGTTAAAGCCGGAACCTAAGCGGAACGATATTAAGAGTGGGGCAAAGAGCTCGGGCCCCCAGGTGCGTAAGACAATCGATCTGCACGACCCACAGGTATACTAACATATAAATGAGCACAAAGCCTACGATATTGACCGCAGCACTTGAGGCCATTCGCATTCATCTGGTAGCAGCAACATCACCGCCTTCGCTACCGGTCTCGTGCCACATTCGCTCTTCTGTTTTCTCATTACGCGATTCCATTACTACGATTATAATTACAACACGCTTTTTATTCCTTTTTCGTCTGACCCCCGTGCACGGCGTAACCCACCGAGGCAAAGGTCTAGGCTGTCCTCTGAGCGTTATTCCGCTCATTCTCTGTCTGCAGATCTGCTATTCAGATTCTGGGACTGCCCCGATTATTAGAACGGAACGAGATTGTGCTTCCTTTTAATTGCCTATCGGCCCAAGTCCGTGTTCGTTCGTTTATCGGTTTCATGCGGTTACGGCCTAGTTTCCACTGGACGAACAATTAACCAGCGAACATTGCTCTCCGACAAAGCAAAATCAGCCCTTCGGCGGCGTCCCAAACCAATCTTTCGCAGTATCGCTTGTTCGCAAAAAATCGTATTGTTTATAAACGTCATTAACTGCTTCTTAAGCATCCCATTTTGATTACATATATCGCCAACTTGTTCATAAACATCGCCAACTGATTGATAAAGTCACCAGTCTGCTCGTAAACATAACCAACTTCTTCATAAAGTCACCAGCTTGTTCAAGACATCAACTTCTCATAATCATCATCAACCTCTTCATAAAATCTCTAATTTGTTCGTAAACATAATCAACTGCTTCACAAAGTCTCCAAATTGTTTATGAAAACCACAAACTTCTTCATAAAGTCTCTAACTTGTTCGTACACATCACTAGCTTGTTCGTAAACATCATCGAGCTGTTTATGAAGTCAGAGTTAGTTTATAAACGTCACTGACTTGTTATTAAAACTTCTCCATAAAATCTCCAACTTGTTCGTAAACTTCAACTTTTCACCAACGTCACCAACTTGTTCGTAAACACAAACTCGCAAACGTTGTCAACTTGTTCATGACCATAATCAACATTTTCATATAGTCTCCAACTTGTTCATAAACATAATCAACATCTTCATATAATCTCTAACTTGTTCATAAACGTCACCAACTCGTTCGTGAACATAATAGCTGTGAAATGTCCCCAACTTGTCTATAACCGCCACCAACTTGTTCATAAAGTCTCCAGCGTTTTCATAAATATCACCAACTTTCCCATAAATATCACCAATTGTTCATAAATGTCACCAACTTGTTCATACACAGTAACTTCATAGTCTCCAGCTTGTTCATAAATAGCACCAACTCCTTCATAAACGTCACCAACTTGTTCATAGACATCAACAGCTTGTTAATGAACTTCACCAACTTCTTCATAAACATAATCAACCTCTTCATTAAGTCTCCAGATCGTTAATAAATTAATCCAACAACTTCATGAAGTCTCGAACTTCAAAGAAAATATAGTAAAGGTGCAGGCTAGCTGGTGAATATTAAACCATGTTGATTTTACCTGAGATTGGGGCAGAAAAGAAACATCAAAACGTAGAAGAGACAGGCAATAGACAGGACGACATCTCAAACTCGTTCGTAAACATCGCCTTGTTCATAAACGTCACCAACTTGTTCATAAACTCATAAACATAATCAACTTCATAATGTATTCAACTTGTTCATAAACATAACCAACTCGTTAATAAACGCCTCAAGCTTGTCCGTAAACATCACTAACTGGCCACGAGACAGCTATATCTGATGGGCGGTGTCGCGCTGGGTAGCACTGGCTATACAAACAAACAAACACAAGCCGAGGACAACAAAGCGTAAACAAAATGTGCGGTCCGTGCGTGGTAGCGATGACTAAATGATAGTAATAAAGTCGAATGGAGAATGGGCCAATTATCTAAGATCGAGACGGAGAACAAAATATGAAAATGCACGCAACCTCGTTTATAAAACAGCTCGCAAAAAAGAAAAGAAACTAGCTTGCGATAGTGTCACCGCAAAATCGAGTCAAAATTCTCACACTAAACACACGCAAAAAAAAAAAAAAAAAAAAAAAAAAAAAACTCGAGAGGCAAAAGTACGATTACAAGCTAACTCACCGCTGCGTGCGTGATAAGCTCGAGTTTGGGATCTTTTAAACACCGCTGACTTCGAATTGCGCGAGCAAAGCGCCTGTGCTAGTCTCGACTCTCCTCGACGCGAAAATTGGGACGGTGAAACTCGCGACACTTTCTGTATTAAAAACCCTTCTTTCTCTCTTTTTTTCGTTCTCGCTTTGATTCACTTAGCCGCCTCCCGTGGGAAGCCAAGAAAGTAGCCGCGATTACGTGAAATAAGTGATAGCGACGGAAGAAAAAGAAAAGAAAGAAAAGTACAGAAAAAAGAAAGTGCCACCTCGGACAGATAGATAAAAGTGGGTAGGGGGGGGGGGGGGGGGGGGAGGTAAGGTAAGAAAGGCTTGTGGATCATGCTTAGTAGGCGCTGGTGCAGCTGGAAATCCAGCAATAACGCAGTTTCGCCTCTCGCTCGCTGCTCGTCGCTCCCGCTGCTGCCTCGGAGTTGGGGAAAGAGGAGAGGCACGAATGCAATTTCCCAAATGTGCGGTGCTCGAGGCGGGTTACAGCGGCGGTGGCGGCGGGTAATTTTCGACGGCAGATGAATGGAGGAGACCTGGCGCACGTGTGGCTTCGAAGGAAACTTTCCCGTGGGCGATTTTTTTTTATCGTTTTTTTTTTATTGTCGTTATTACCTCGTATTACGATCATTATTAGCTCTTCTTTTCTCGTGTTTTTTTTTTTTTTTTTTTTTTATTTTGCGTTGCCCGTAGGGTCGGAAATGACGTTAGGGAACCCCCCTTCCTTCGACGCCGAGAAAACGTCTAACGGTAGAAGAAAACAGACGCCGTGGGTTGGTGGGCCCACTTATCGCCGCGTATAGTAAATAATACATTCCCGGATTTAGTCTCACTGCGAAGATCTTAAAGAGGGTCGCGGTGTGATTCTAGCCGAAGCGTGCTTATAGGCGGCGCTCGATTGCTGCTGGGGCGAATCAGTTTCCGCGCGCGATTGTGTGACTAAAGCTGAAGTTCCTACGGTGTGCAGTCTGAGAATACATAAACCGAATGGAGCGATGGGGGTTCGGAGTTGGGATGAGGGGCGAGACGACGACGCACGGAGCCCGGAATGAGATTTGCTACGTCTTTTGGGCGTACGAGGCGGCCTTTTTATTGTACATTATGGATTATGTGCGCGGTTGGGGCTAACGGACGTTGACGTGGTGGTCTTGTGCCGACGCCGGGGTATCGGAGGCGTCTTGTTTTGGCTGACGGATGAACTCCCTTACCGTAACCCTTCCCACCGAGCAACTGGAGAAAAATGTGTTTTTGTTTGTTCTGGTCGTCTAGGTTTATTTATTTGCCTACATGCCATCGGGCC